ATTCAAGGCCAGGTTTCAGGGGCTTCCCTACCACCTTGACCACGTTGGCTACCACTGTCCTTTACCGAACAGGCCTTCCAGACACCGCACCTGGACCCCACCATCTACCTGGATCTCAGGGAGTGTGTAGCAGCCTTAGAAAATGTGTAGCAAGTCGCCATCCTCAAAAGCTGTTCTCAGGCTCACGCTCTTTATCTGTTGTTTTCCTTCACTATGTTGGAAGGGCTATGTTCTGCCTGTGCTGGCCACTTAGCCATCTGGCCACCCCTTGGGCTCAGAGGACAACGTCTGAGTAGGTGGTGGCAGTGTCTGAGTGGGCAGCAGGCCAGTTTGTCTGGAATGTGAAGTTGGGGGCTGTAGCATGATCCCTGCCACATGGCTTCATGTCAGAAGGGAAACAGGGCTCTCATCTGAGGGTTCTCAAATGGCAGAGAAAGTTTGCCACTCTTGTCACCAGAATGCCACCAAGTCCTCATTGTCACAAAGATGTCATATTTTTTGCACATATCTAATACTTGAATTTTTTTTTAAATAACTTTCAAACTTTCAGAGATTATACTAATTTTTTTATCCGCCTATCTAGGCACACATATTAAACAAGTTTTTTAGTACTTTCCAGCCAGTGTCTGCTCTAGTCAGTTTGTCTGCAGGAAAAGCCTGTCCACTCATCTCTGGGGAGGGGATTGTTTGAGGGCTGGCCTCCAGGCAGCATACTTCCAATCATGGTATCTCCTCAAGTAGCTGTGGCTTTAGGGGCCATGCTGACAATACTAGGGTATCGGGACAGAAGCGACGTGGTTTCTGTGACGACAGTGAGGCTAGGCTCTCCAAAGAGTCAGTAAGCTCCATGATAAGAATGCCTGGCTCAGTTCCTGGGACACAGACAGAAGGGTCATCCTGTGAGGCTTGGGCACTGCCCTCCTCCCGCCTTCCACATGGTCTCTGCCCAGATGAACACAAGGTCCCCCCACAGCCCACCCACCACCCACTACACTGCTTCCAGGCCAGCATAGCAGGCAGTGGTCATCCAGTGGCTCAGGCTCACAGGGTTGGGGGCTGTTTCTGGGCCAGCAGAAGGGACACTGTGTCCTCACCCAGCGACCCAGTTAGGGGAGCTAATTTCAGAAGCGGGCCTCCATTCTCCTGAGGCTGTGGACAGCGCTGTCCTCACAACACCCTCTTCCCACATGGGCCACAGACAGGTGGGTGCACCTCTCAGGCAGGCGGAAGCTGGGCATCCAGGTGGTGACCATGGACCCAGAACAGTATGGTCTGAAGCATAGGGTGGTCCCGTCAGCCCCCATGTTTAGTGTGTAGGGAGTGTAGCCTCTCAGGTATTGGGGACGAAGGGCAGCCCAGGACCCAGGGGTGGGGGTAGCCAACTACAGGCCTTACCAGCACAAAGACCACACAGCCATTAAAGTGGGGAGAGTCGCCCAGCCCTCAAGGATTCAGTACACTCGGGTAGGGACATCCATCTCAGTGGCCAGGCAGGGTTCTGAACACCACCCAGAGGTTATCCTGGTGTGGCCACCCCACCCCTACTTCCCTGAGAGGAGGGGAAAATTTGACCCCTAAGCCAGCCCCCCATCTGCCCTGACAGCCTTTGATGGGGCTAGGCCAACACCTACAAAGCCCACAGGAAGCCAGTGCAGCACCCCACCAGGTGGGGACCCCACCCTTCAGTGCTCAGGGTACCCAAGGACAAGCTACAGGGCAGGGGGGCTGCAGCCCCCATCACTCAGGTCCGTCCGGGGAGGTGAAGCTTAGGGTCTCATGGTGATGCCAGTTTGCAGGCAGGCGGGGGTGGGGGAAGTCGGCCAGCACCACCATCTGCCCTTGAATTTAAGCTTCCCACTCCCACCCCATAATCCGTAATAAAAAATCTCATGTTTCTGAAGGTGACCCCATTCCAGGGTGCTTTCCAATCTGTCATCTCAGGGGAGTTCGGGTTGCCCCAGAGGGGCCAGGAGGCTGAGGGGAGAAGGCTGGCGCACAGGCAGGCAGGGCTGTGGCGCCACAGAATTTCTCATGACATCGCTGTTCCCACCCAGCTACCTGCCTTTGGTGGGGGCTGGACCCTGTGTCCCCAGGTTAAGAATCCAACCTTAAAGCACCAGTGTGGAAGCTTGCTCTCCACCTATGAGGCACTGCTGCCATCTGGGGGCCCCCATCCAGACTGGAGCCCACATCACTGCCTCTGGGGCTCAGCTCCCCTGAGAGCCAGCAGGAGGTCATGGCAGACAGGGGGGTCATCAGCATTGTTGGAGCTTTGAGGCCAGCAGGAGTAGAGAACCCAAAGTGGAGCCTGTCTGGTGTTTGAGGGTCACAGGAACACTGCCATGAGGGCAGCATGCTCTAGGGTGAGCTCAGGACAGGCTAGAGGAATGGGCAGGGCTTCAGGACCCTCACACAGCCTGGACATGGGTCAGGATCCTGAGGAAGAAGCTCATGTCCACAGCGGCTGGGCTCTATGAAAGAAAGGACTCTCCCACAAAGGTGGGCACCACAGTGCAGGGAGACTCGACCAATACTGGGGAAAGGGACTATGAGGAGGCACTAAGCAGACAGCTGCATTCTGTCTGAGAGGCCCTCAGTCTCTACCACCCTGTGGGCCACAGCATCCACCTGTTCTGTCTCCACCAATGGGCAGGCACTAGAGGGGCACATGTGCCCAGCAGGCTGAGTCCTCAGGGTGCTTGAGGAGGGGAGGGTTGACTGGGCGGGGCCAGGGCCCCAGGTGGCAGGAGTGGGCAGGGCACTGCCCAGGCACTGCCTGCCTCAGCAGCCTGGCCTCACTTTGCCCATCACTTTGCTGGCATCGGTTCTCCTGTCGCTGGCCACCTAACCCTCCTGGTCTATTACCTGGCCGTCCTGTCCCTGTCCCTCTCCCCTCCTCCTCCATCACTTTCATTGTCACTCACGAGGTCACCGTCCAAGGTAGGACCCTTATTTTGAGATGAACCTGCTCCTGGGACTGGCCCCAGACCTAACTCGGGAGAATGGACCTAGCCTGTGCGGAGCCGCCTGCTCGCGCGGAGCTGAGCCCGGGGACGCGCGGCGGGGGCGGTGGGCGCGTGTACTGCGCGCGCGCCGCCTGCATCCAGCACCGCAGCCCTCCGGTGCCGAGACGCCGAGCACCGGGCCGGGGCCGTGGCGCGGGCGGCTCCGAGGTAGGTGCCGGTCCCTCCGTGCTCCTGTCCACAGAGGAGGGGACGATGCACCGGCCTGGGGCGCCACGTAGGGCCTCAAGGAGGAGGGGGCACCCAGCGCGCACTCCTCCTGTCCCCCACCTTCTGCGTCGGCCTCCCTGCCCCCACCGTGGCCTGGCTCAGGCCCCGCCCTATCCCGCCAGCGGAACCACTCTGGCCCAACTGGGATGGAGACCTCCACCCACCCAGATCCCCCTACCCTGACCTGAGGCCGGCCCCCACAGCTTGGGGGAGGAGGTAGAGTGAAGACCTCTGGGCCACTAGAGGGGCTGGAGCCAGCACTTGCTTCTGTGAGGTCTCAACCTGTGGCTTTGCAAGAATGGGGTGGGCTGGTCCATAGGGATGCAAGGGGGGACACCTGTCCACAGGACTGCGCCAGCCCATCCCAGATCCTGAGATGCCAGCGTGCTGGGTGCGGCTCCCAGCCCTACCCTCCCAACAGATATGCAAATTTAGCCGAATGCCCAGGGGATCCAAGCCTGGCTCCCCTATGCCCAGGGCAGGCTGAAGGAAAAGAGGTGAGGTGCCCCATACCTCTGTCACCTTAGAGCATTTGGCTGCCCCTCCCCTGGAGCTAGGAGTAGGTTGGATATAGGGCCTTCCATTCCCAGGCCCCTTCCCCCATAAAGTGCCTGTCTCTCTCATCGCTTTCCCCGGGACCAGCTCCAATGAGGCTGAGATGAGGATCCCCGGAGTTGAGGATGGAAAGTTAGTTCTGAAGTTAATTGGCCCCAAGGGGTGAGGAGTGCAGTCATAGGTCCTCATTAGCAGGAAGGAGCCCAGGTAACGGTGTGGTCCCTGGACGCACCTTGGGTAATGGAGGCCACGCCTCAGCAGGAGCCAAGTTCCCACTAGCCCCTCAGGGACAACTAAGGGTGACTACAGACATCCTACTATGTCACCCCCTCCCTCATGTCCATCTCCAGGCTGGCTCCCACCACCAGGGGCAGCTGGGGGTGATCAAAGGTGGTCATCCCTCTCCATAACCTTTCCCCTCCTTCCCCCAGCCTCAAACTGGCTACCGAGGCTGCAGACCCCATGGAAGAGTGGGATGTCCCCCAGATGAAGAAGGAGGTAGAGAGCCTCAAGTACCAGCTGGCTTTCAAGAGAGAAATGTCCTCCAAGACGATCCCTGAGTAAGTCCCCAACCCGTCGTGTAGATTTGCATCTCATTTGCATGCCCCGCTTGGATTTGCGTGCCCTGAGGCCAAACTCCCAGCTGCTGGGCCCATCCCTGCCGGGTACTCGAGGAGGAGCCCGCCTGTTCTAGGGGGTCCCCCCACCTCCGCTCACCTGTGCCATCCCTGCCCGCAGGCTCCTCAAGTGGATCGAGGATGGGATCCCAAAGGACCCCTTTCTGAACCCCGACCTGATGAAGAACAACCCGTGGGTGGAGAAGGGCAAGTGTGCGATCCTGTGAACTGCCCCACCCCCTCCCAGACCCGCACCTTTTCTGAATTTGTAAAGGTGGAACTTTTATAAAGGCTTTTCAGGGGGTTTCCAGAGTTTTTACTTCAGGTACACATCACGTGAACTGTAGGACAAAGGTGGAGACTTGGCTCCTCGCGGAGATAGGGAGGCACCTTGGTTTGGGGGTGGGTATATGGAGGGTGGTGTATGGGGGGTGAGGGGAAGGGTCCCCAGCACTAATCCAACGTGGGATGAGCGAAGTCTGTGTCCATGGGGATTTACTGGGGGGTGGGGCAGAGTCCAGCATGGCTGGGCTCAGGATGGGATGTGGGGCTAGAACCCCAGTGTGGAACGGGGGCAGGGTCGCACGGCCGGCCGCTACAGCAGGTCCTTGATGTGCACGTTGCGCCGCACAGCGTTGGACACGCCTTCATTGAAGCGGAACCAGACGTGACTCCTGCCCACTGCCGTGCCCACACGCCACTCCGCTGAGTCCTTCCCCGGGGCAGCGTCCTCCGCGGCGACTGTGCGCTTGCTCGTGGCAGCGCTCCTAACGACTATGCGCCCAAAAAAGTCTCTCTCGGGCTGAGGGATCAGAAGGAGAGTGTTTTGGCCCCAAACCGCGACCAGGGAAGAACCACCCACCTACCCCACGCTGGGCTGGAGGACCCGCATATCTGAGAATCCTCCACTTGCCTTCACAGTAACTGCTGACTCCCAGCCAGGGTCTAGGTCTTGAGGACAGAGTCCACCCTCTGTCCACCCTCTCACCCCATGCAGAGGGGGAACCAAAGCCCAGATGGGACCTTTGACTCCTCAAGCCTCCTCTCATTGGCATGGTCACCTGCCTGGGGTCACCTCACCTGCTCCTCAAAGGTAGCCTTCCTCATGAAGTATTCTAGGCGCTGCTCGTGGTTCCGGGGGACTGAGTGCCGCACCCCTTTGTCCTCACCTCTCCGAACACCCTCAGTCTCTGGAGGAGTCCCTTCCATCTGCTGGGTTACAAGGACAGGCCAGGGTGACTGGACAGGGTCATACCAGGGACAAGGACCTTCAATGGATTACACAGGCCAGGAGTCAGGGCTCACTTAAGGATACCTCACCTCCAGGTCCTGGGCAGCCAGGGCTGAAGGCTCTGCCCTGCGCATCTTCTCTACCTCAATCTCCCGGGCAATGAGCTGCTTGGCCTGGTAGGTGAGTGGCTTGCGGACTGGCAGCTCAGGGAAGCGGCAGATCCCCTCCAAGTTCCTGCAGATTCCTCCACATTCAGGCATCGGGGCCACAAGGGCCTAGTCAGTGCCCAGAGCAGGGGTGGCCTGATGACCCCCAATGTCACAGCTTGAAGACTAGAGTCTGGATTTGAGCCTAGGCACTCCCACATCCCAGCCCCGTAGCAATGGGGGAGGGTGACCTTTCGCCCCCTCCTTGATAAGAACCAGCTCTGAGGGGTGGGTGGAGGGCAGGGTCCTGGTTTTAGCTCCTGGGTGCTCTCTAGTGTCTGTTTTGTGACCTTCACATAAGGAAGGACAAAAGGATGACCTCAATTCTGTGTCTTGTCCCTGGACACCACTCAGCCTTCACTGAGACCATGGGACTCCAGGACTGAGGCCCAAGCCCATCCTGGACCCCAGTAGGAGGGGGTGTTCCAAGACAGGAGTCCCCAGGGGAGGGTCCAGGGAGAGTCCCAGGACAAGGGTGCTGGTAGGGCCAGAAGCAGAGGCTTATGCCTCTGTCCCCTGAAACCATGTAGCAGAGGCTCAGAGGCATCTCAAGTGCCTTCTGTGGGGGGTGTAGGGGCATAGGCTGGGAGGGGCTGGGCAGTGAACCTTCAGGCCAGGCAGGCAGGGTCAGTGTCACCCCAGGACTTACACCAACCCCACCCTGTGGCCACATCTGAAAAGTCTCAGCTGGACCCACACCCCTCCCCTCCCCCTGGACAGAAAAACAGGCTCACCAAGAAGACCCAGATTTAGACCTGGAGCCTGAGCCCAGCCCCAGCCTGCCGCCCTGATGTTCAACACAAGTGGTACTGGTGACACCAAGCAGTAGTGACCTTCTGTGTCAACAGTGACTGCAGGTAGGGGTAGAGCATGGACCCTGGTGATAGGTAGTGGCCCCAGAGATTGGTGACGCTGGGTGGGGTCCCTGAGCAGTGATAGGGACACACACCCCCTCCACCCCCATGCAGGGGTGCGTGCACTCACGGCTCCAGTCGGTAGGTGTACTGGCCATCAGCCATGCGCTCCTGGCGATAGGTAAGGTTATAGGCCAGCATGGTGCCCACAAGGCCAGCCAACTGCTGCTTCTCACGGGTACTATACAGCTGTGTGCTCACCTGTGGGGATTGAAGGGTGGTGAGGACTGAGCATGGCCCATTGAGACACCACCACCACCCCCCCCCC